AGTAGAAAGTTGAGAAATAATTAAATGTTTTTTCTTAGTTTTAGTATAAGTGATCTACGGAAAGAGTTGCTTTTTTTATAAAATATATATTGCATTTATGATATAAATTTATTACAAATATAAATAAGATGTTTATTATAAATAAAAGACATTTTTACTTAGAAGATAACAATAATCTCTTATACAAAAAAATTCTCTAATGACAAAAAATATCTGACTTATAATAAAATACAAGTTCTATAATAAACTAATTTACATTATTAACCTCACTACTGGCACAATCATATACTTATAAATTAACAAACCTGCCATTGAGCACCTATCACAAGTTATATAACATGATCATTAATATAAAAGAAGAGTTTCAATTCTAATTTAACATAGAGTAATCCTAGTTGAGATAAACAAAGAGAAGACTTGATTAGTATGAGAAGAGGTTAAAAGAAAGACTCAAAGAGAAGAGACAAATCAAACTTACAGATAAACTACTAGCCAAATCTATTATGCCTATTTTGACTTATTCACTATAGATTATGCAAAAATTGAATTAGTTTAATAATAGACATACTGATTTCTGAATTACAATAGTATATATAATTTAATATTTATTTATTATATTTATAATTGCTATATCTTTAACATAAACTATAAAGTTATTAAATAAATATAACAGGTTTAATTTTGACTATATGATTATATATTAATGTAATATTTATAAGTTAAAAAATAAATAAAGATAAATAAAAATTAATAATAGAATAAAAATCTGATAATAATAACAATTTAACAGTAAAATAACAGAAGGTTTGTTTATATTAGTAATATAATAATAAAATATTAGCAAAATAATAGAACAGTTCTATTATTTTACTTTTAGTCTTTGTAACTAAAAATAAAATAATAAAACCATTTATTATTTTACTAACATGTTACCAATATGCTACTAAAATTAACAAATCTTCTGTTATTTTACTGTTATTCTGCCATTATTTAGTGAATATAAGATAGAATAATAATAAAATTTTTTTTATTATTTAATTTTTATTAACCTTTATTTATTTTTTTAACCTGTGATTTCACAAGTACAAAAGTGAATTGTAGCTTAAATTACAAAATTGTAAAGATTAAAATCAAATAAAATTAAAATTAAAAGTTTTATTTTATATATTATTAATAATTTAGTAATTTATAAAGCAATTTAAAAGTTAGATGAAAGATATTTTAAATAGTTAAGTTTAACTTATATATACAATAGATAAATTAAACTTATCAATTTAAGTTGCTCTTTTTTGTAAAAACCTATTCTTCATAATTGCAACTAATAAAACAATTTGGTTATTATATAGACTAGTAATATAAAGCTATCTTATAAGACATATATTTTTTGTAAAAATATTTAGTACAAAATATATATTGATACCTTTTAATTATTAAATAAATTTGATGTTGGAACAAAGACTATATTTATGATTATTTCTATTTATTCGTTATTAGCATTCATTTCATTCTATTTATGAAAGTTAATATTCATCTCTGTTGCCATCCTAATCAACCACTTAGAATGCAAAATCAGGTGTAATGTAAAAATCAAAATTTTGACTATGAAACTATACTTTTTATCTTACCAAAAAAAATTCCATATGAAATTTTGGGTTAGAAACCTTTTTTAGCTATTATCTTATTCCTAGTCTTAACCTGGTTGCTATTTGTTTTGTTTTAAAATAAAATCAAAACAACCAAAGATTGGTTAATCAGAAGGTAGCAATGTGAAAAAAAATAATTGCCTTTATTTATTTTATTTTATTTTTTTAAAAATTATTTAAAATCTGTTACAAGTATAATTATTTTTATGCTATTAGCACATTTTTATTTAACGATTTAATTAATTTAATTAATACTAAAGTTTAAAATTTTGATTAGCTATAAATTTTTTCAATATAACAATATTATCAGCAAAAATTAGGCAGTAATGATGAAAGGCAGCTATGCTTATTAAATCTCAGCTTCGAAGATTGACTTGACCAAACTCAACCTAATAGCAATAATGATGAGAGATTTCTACTCAAAGTTCAAATTATGATTACAAATACACAGATCACAAATCATATCATGCACTACTAAATAATTTAAATAAAATATACTATCCATAAAACTTTTGGTTCATGTCCAAAATAATTACCCATATTATAACAGAAGAAAATGTATCTGATTAAAACCACAAGTAATTATATTTGCAACATTAATGGTTAAGTGACACATTATTGTGAAATGATTTTTTATGTTCTGCACACCAGGTGTGGAATAACTACCTCAACAACACCAAAAAAAATGTTTAGTAGTACAAGATTTGTACTATGTATTGACCAATAGGAATTTACTAGTTTGTGTTACTATAGAAGAACCTATCATTATTAAAAATATCTAAACAGAGATATATAAGAACTTATCAAAACTTTACATAACTTTATAATTGATCTACATATATTCAAATACTAATTGGTATTATGCTATAGAATTTTTGTGAACATTGGAAGTAACTTATTGCATTTATATGATAGAGAGTAAAATTTTTAATTTTATTTATTTTAGATATTTCATTATTTTTTGATCTGTGTAGACTACTTAAGATACATCTTTTTTAGAAAGAACTGATATTATGCACCTTTCACATAATTCTCAAATATAATTCAGCATGAAAATTAATCAATAAAAGTGAAGAAAAACATAGTATAAAATAAAATTTGAAGGCTATTATTAAAATTACAGTAGCAGATGTTTTAAAATTATATGCTAAAAAATAATAAATAAGTTATATTTAGAATATGCATTTAAATAGTAATTATACATAGATTAAATTTGATTAAATTTTTTTAATAAAAAAAAAGAAGTATTTATAAATAATTGTACTTTAATATCTAAATATATAATTATAAATTGCTTTAATTAAATTAAAAGTTTTTTGGCCTGCTTTTAGATTTTAATTTGTCTCTTTGAAAAAAATTTTTCTCAGAGATCAAGCATAAAACTTTAATTTATTAATACTAGATTTCGTTTATTTACTTGTTTGAATTAGTATCTTGTTATGTTCTTTCAAAAAATCAATTAAATACGTATTTGCTAATCAATTTTGGGGCACATCCAACCTATTTATAATATGTGTTTACTAAAATTGAAGTATAAAAATAAACAACTGCATATAAATACAGACTTGATTTTTCTTACATTAATGTAATATTAAAAAATAATTATAAAATAATTGCTTGCTTTTTAAAAACAACTTAATAGTTTTATTTTTTTTATATTATGTATTTAATATATCATTTGATATCAAATTAAATCTTTGTTCCAATGTTGGTTTTCAAAGTTTATTCAAGAAAACTATAACTTATAATTATTATTTAAATTGCATAATTAAAATATAGTACTTTGCTAAAAATACTATACAAATTGTATACATTACCTGTAATTCAAGTTGGATAAAGAGATTATAGCTGTTTTGTCTTATTAATGTCATCTTTTAAATTATAATAAATAGTATAAAAAGATTATTTACAATTCCATAATTGTTATAGGTTAATAATTTGGTTTAATACTTACAATGCATTATGAATTTAAAAAAATTGTATGTTGGTTATGATCTTTCCAGGTATATGGGTTTGTTATTCTTCATTGATAAATTAAATATCTGTTACTAAATTTTGTATGCCTTTAAAACTTTCTTGAACAGACTGTGCCCATTGAATATTATTAGCATTTTCTTGTTCTTGTACAATTTTGAGTGCATCAGAAATTACTGCATTATATTTCTTAAATATTTGCATTGATTTAGTATCATTGTCATTAATTGAATTAGTAACCTCTATTATATTATTTATTTTTAAATCAAATATAATAATAAAATTAAAATATACAAAGATCAAATATATAAAAAAACAAGTTTTAACCTGAAAAAGTTTTTGATTTTTACCTATATTTAAAGATTGCACTTATTAAATAAATTTAGTGTTAGCATTAGATTTTGAATAATAATGATAAATTAAATGATATTAAGATCGGATATATAAAAAAACAAGTTTAATCTAGAAAAGCTTGATTTTTACCTTTATTTAAAGATTGCACTTATTAAATAAATTTAGCATATTAAATTAGATTTTAAATAATAATGATAAATTAAATTATAATAAGATTAAATATATAAAAAAAAACAAGTATTACTTAAAAAAAACTTGATTTTTACCTGCATCTGAATGCATTAACTGCATAGAAGATTGCACTTGTTAAATAAATTTAGATTTTGGTAATAAAAATATAAATAGATAAATTTCTTGTTGTTGGACAGTTTTAAAAAAAAATATATCAATCATAAATTGAGATGCTTAAATCAAATGTTTATATAACAAAAATCAGTTAATCAAAAATCCTGAATATCCACAAATCCATTTTTCGACATTAGTAACATAATTATGATTAATTGGCCTTTTGCTTAATGTAATCCATTCTTTTTTAAATTTTTTACACCAAGAAGGCATTTTACATTTAGAATAATACTTATTATATTGTTGTTGATGGTGTAGAAGTAAGCAAGTTACAATAATATATGCTAATAAGTCGAGATGTAGTCTAAAAAATCTTGGTAAAAAATCTTACATTAAAACTTTTCAGTGTGATTCACACAATATAATAGTATAAAAAATACAAATCTTGTTAGATGCTAAACAGGCCCACATATTCCAGATTTCTTTATGATACCAATGTTTTCATAGATACATCCAAAGATGTTTTAAATTGTGATTAACACAAAATTTGTAAATTTGTTTTGTTAATTGTTCCCAGATTTCATTTGTTAACAAATAAAATCCATTAATATTTGGAATTAAAGAATGAAGGTATATATGACTTTTTATTATTTCTATAATTTTAGAACGTAACTCTTTAGGAAAAAAAAAATTTTTTTTTTGTACTAAAGTTAATTGTGATGATGGTGTTGGATAAAATTAAATATCAACAAATTTAACTATTTGATGCATTAAATATGAACTGTAATTAATCGTTTTTGGATAAACATTGTCTGCAAGACATTTTTTAATTGTTTTCTTCATATGCTAAAAGCAAATTTGAATTTTGGCATTTGACTACATTCTTCGTGCAGCAGATATCTGTCTGAAATCTTTGTTAGTTAAAAAAAAATTAACATTATTTAATCCCAAATTAAATAATGATTGAAAAAATAAAGTTAAAATATCTGTCTGTACTTCATCATTTTTTTTTTGACCCCTCAATAAACAAATATGCAAGTGCGAATCCTAATCCATCATAGTGACCGATAACTGAATACAACTCATAACCCAAAGCAGTCGTCTTATATGTAGCATCTATAACTATTTCCTTATTATTTTTCAATAATTCAAAAAACAGTATAATAAAGCCCAAATATTGAATATATTGATTGTTGATCAAAATAACTTTACATTTATTTTCTTCTACTAATATTTTAGTAAAAATTAATTGATTATCGTCACGAAGATATTCCTTTCTTAAAAAATAAGTCCACCATATATGAACTTGTTTTTGAGTTAGATTTGGATGCTGCTGTTCTAATTGTTTAAAAATATCTGCAGGCATTTGATAAATATTTTTTATTTCAACTTTAATGTTATCAGATATATTGAATCTATCAGGACACTTATGAAGTACAGTGTGATGAAGATCAATTGTTGCTATATTTATTTTCATATTAAGTAATATTTTTAAAACACTATTGCAATCAAAACAATCAATATATCCTCTATCATGCTGCTTGTCAAGATTTTCATGTTTTCAAGGACATTTAGCTAAAGTACAATTTTGAAAACAATTATATAAAAATGTATAATGATTAGAATTTTTTTCAGATCTATAAACCAGATGATAACTATAATATATAAGTATAATATTATTAGTAGTAAATAAATTATTTAATTTTAAAGATATATTATTATTACATATATGTAATACTTATATATAATAGTATCCATCGGCAGATCCTATTATTTTGGCAATTGTTTTTGCAAGTTCATGAGGTTCACTTTTTAAGGAATTAGTAGATATTTTGTATAAAAATTCTACACCAGAATTTTCATTTTCAACAATTTCATTATTTCCAATTTTTAGAATAGACTCAAATAATGCTTTTTGTATTGTTTTAGGTTCAACAACATCCAGATCATAAGATACATTATTGTTAAGCTTTGTATCATGGTAAGTTTCTAATCTTTTTTGCTAACATTCATGACATGTTTTTGTAGGTTTACCAATTTTACTAATAAAAGCAGTTGTATCAAATCTTTTATCACATCGATCACACTTGTACAAGTTATTAGAAATCGTAGTCATTTTGTAAAAGAAGCAAAAAATTTTTTTATCGATATTTTTATTATAAATATTAATGATAAGTTTAGTGATCTAAATGTAACACAATTAAAAAATGTTTCAGTACATAATAATCAAATAGTGTTCGGTTCGGAAGATTGCGACTCTGTCGCTCCAAAATTCTAAACCTCGCGTAACGTACAATAAGTAACCTTTTCGAAAGAGGGTGTTAGAT